AATGTTGAGTACCTTGGTTAGAGGAGACTAGACGAGCAAATCCCGAAGTCCATTGGGAACCATGCCGCCAATAACTGCCAGTAGAGATCGATAATAAGGGAGGAAAAAAATTACAAATAACGTTGAGTACCTTGGTTAGAGGAGACGAGACCAGCAAATCCCGAAGTCCATTGGGAACCATGCCGCCAATAACTGCCAGTAGAGATCGATAATTATTGATTGGGCCAGCTGTTCACAAAGTATTGTCGATTGAGTAGGCCAGCCTACAAAGAGGATATAGATCGGGGCTGGCTAATTCAAGGTCCCCAGGGCCAGGCAGATGACAGCGCAGAGAGCAGCAGGGCCCCCGACGAGAGGGGAGCCGAGTGGGGACTGGGGCAAAGGCAAAATGCACCCTCTACCCCATGGGGGGAGCTGCTCCTCTTTGGGGATTATAGGTGATGAACATTAAAACAATTTTTTTTGGTATTTATCAGTATTTTATAATTTTCCCCCAGTGAACAATATTACATCAGACATTTTTAAGAAGAAAGAAGTTAGGCAGTGCCAAAAGAGAGGTAAAAATACAGTCTGGTGGGACCTACCAGGAGAAATGACCCCTTATGCCCAGGGGGAGGAGGTTGGGCAGGACAGATCTTGGAGATGAGGGGGCGTGGGGCGCATGTGTGGCTCTTGCAGAGGGCTTGCAAAGGGGGTGATGAGAGAAGCAGGCACTGGGGGTCATCTCAGGCCACCACCCATTTCCTGAGCACCCGGGTTGGGGGTGGAGCAAGGAATGTGAACAGTGTGTACCAGGCACTGTTCTAAGCTCTTGACAGATGTGTTTCAACCTCACGGCAGTCCTATAAGGGGGTCCTGTTGTTCTCCTCATTTTACAGCTAGGGAAACTGAGGCACAGGGCGGTTAAGAAACGTCCCCAAGGTCACACAGCTTGAAATGACTGGGCGAGGATTTGAACTGACACCGTCTGACTTAAAGTCAAGACTGGCCCCTGATTCTCATTGGTGGTCCCAGAATGGGGAGGGAGTGGCCTGGGGCAGGGGTGCCAAGTTGCTGCTTGGGGCTGGGGGCTGATGCCCATTCCACACCGTCTTCCTTCCTGGACAGAAACCGGCAATTACACCTGTGAATTCTGCGGGAAGCAGTATAAATACTACACGCCCTACCAGGAGCACGTGGCCTTACACGCGCCTATCAGTGAGTACTGGCTCCGGGTGTGCGGGTGGGAGGAGTCCGGGGAGGAAGTGGACCAGCCTTGGTCAGAGGCTGTTGAAAACAAATGTGACCTCGGTTCTGGGTCAGGTTCTTGGTCCTTAGGTCACGGAGGACCCTTGCTGCAGTAGCCAATCTAGCTGAGAGAACCCTGCCCAGAAACCAGAGAGCCTCTGTTCGCTTAGTGGAATTGAGGCTTTGGACTGAGTCCCTCAGTGACCCTGCTCCCACCTCCTCATGGTTCAGCCACGATATGGGAGGCAGGCCAGTCACCCTCAGCCACCAGGGCCCTAGGCTGGGGGGCGTGTGAGCAAGACCATGCCCCTGTTTGTGAGTAAAGAGATGGTGGCAGGGGCACTAGGCTGGAGTTGGAGCCCTGCTGGGTCAGACTGGCCTTTTTGCTTAGGATCTCAGACAGGCCCCAGTTTCTCCATCCTGGAGGTCCCTGGACCAACAAGCTGCCGTCCACTGTCCCTTGGTGTCTGAGAGCAGCTCCACCTTAGATCCCCAAGTGCTGGAGCACAGTAGGCCCTCAGATCTTCCCCCTTCTGACAGGGACCAGACAGAAGCAGAGGCTCAGGCAGTAGGATGGATGTGTAAGAGCATGTTTGGAGGTATTCCTGCCCACTCGTCCATTCTGTTTGTGGGAGAGCTGAGGGCCAGAGGGAAGGAATTGCACAGGGTCAGTGGGGGCTGCTGCTGCTTTCTGTGTGGGTGTGCTGCTGACTGACCCTCCTGACAACAGCAGCAGGTGGTCCCCACAATGGCTGTTAGGGTCTGGAGAAGAGGGCTCTCGAGGCTAGGAGGCTCTGTAGGCCTGGATACCAAGAAGTCCAGCCTGGTGAGCAGAGTGGCAGGGGCCAAGAGTATACCTCGTGTCCTGAAGTCAGGACTGTCTATCATGAGGTGACCCTCAGCTACTGTGTGACCGCGTGCCTATTGCTCCACTTCTCTGGGCTTGAGAGTCCCACCAGTGAGTGTTCTGGGGCCTTTCCAGCCCCAGGCTCTGAGTTGGGGTGACCCTCAGGCAGGTAACTGGAGGCAGCTGCTCCCAGGAACCCCCCTCAACACCCAGTGCCAAGCACAGAACTGGGTCCTGCATAAGGGGGGCTCCATTTACCCAGCAGCCTCTGGCTTCACAGCACCTGGGGCGGGCGCTTGGGCACAATGGCCTGGGCCCTTCTGGAGACCCAGAAGTGAACTGCCCCACTGCCTGGGGGGAGGGGGGGAGCATTCCCCAGAAGGCACTTACCGTGAGGTGTTAGCAACAGCGCCAGCCCAGGACCTTGGTTCCAGCCTTGAGAGACAACTGTCAGCGCTGCAGCCGTGGCTCTTCCCCCGAGGTGTTTCTTGGGGCCCTTTGAGAAGGCAGCAGCGTCAACAACATCCTGGGAAGCTGGTGCCGTGGCAAAGAGGGGCATCAGCCACACCCCGACTTCTTCCCTAGGGCCAGACGCTTCTCTCAAGGCCTGCCTGCTTCCGTGGCGTCTTATTTTCTTGGGCTCTCTGCCGTGGCTTCTCTCCCTCCGTTTCTCTCTTCTGAATGCTCTTCGCCGAAGGGCTGCGTGTCTGAAATACAGCTGGAGAGATTTAGGCTAGATCGAAAAGAAGACTGGTTTCCCCAAGACTGTCTCCCAGTGGGATTGGGTCCAGAGGTTATATACATCGTAGGTTCTGTGTGGAGATGGAATACGCAAGGCAGGTTGGTGGGCAGAAATGCCACCCCCGGAGTGTGTGGCTCAGCAGAGTGGACTTGAGACGCAGATAAGTTGTGCGTACCCATCATTCATTCTTTTTCACTGCTGAGTAGCGTTCCACCGTGTGACAGTACCACAGCTTGGTTAGCCATTTGCCTGTGTTAAGTTTATTTGCGTCGCTTCCAGCTTTCAGCTATTGCGAATAAAGCTGCTAGGCTAATGCTCACACAAGATTCATTGCGGGCATATGGTGTGCCTTTCTCTTGGATAAATACCAAGAAGCAAAACTGCTGGGTTTAAGGGGAGAGCCTGGAACTTTTTAAGAAACTGGCAACCCGCTTTGCAAAACGCCAGGAGCATTTGACGTATCTGCCAGCCACCCGTGAGAGTTCTATTTGCACCGCATCTCTTGCCAACATGTGGCGGCGCCGGGCATTTTACTTGCAGCCGTTCTAAAGAGTCCTATACAGCGGTTTGGCTCACTTGTATCTTCAGCTGACAAAGAACGTGGCGCTTCTCTCAAAGTGGCCATCGGCCGCATGTGCATTTTGCTTGGAAACTGTCTGGAGCTGCTGGCTCACGTTTTGTCGGGGTTGCTTGGGTTTCTGTGTTGTGTCTCTAAGCGCTAAGTAGATTTTGGATCCTGGTGCTTTGCCGGATGTATGTGTGGTGCATTCTTTCTCCTAGTCTTTGGCATGCCTTTTGATTTTCCAACAGTGCCGTTTGATGAGGCGTTTTGCATTTTCCTGAAGCCTAGTTTATCTCCCCCCTCCCCCCCACCCCCATTCACAAGTACCTAGTGCTTTCTGAAGGAGCCCTGGTGGTGAAGTGGGCAACAGATTCAACTGTCAAGTGCAAGGTCAGAGGTTTGAACCCACCAGTTACTCTGCGGGAGACAGTGGTGGCTGTCTGCTCTGGGAAGCACTTGCAGTCTGAGAAACCCAAAGGGGCAGTTCCCCTCTCCCTATAAGGGCTGCTGTGAGTCAGCATGGACTTGATGGTAGTGAGTTCGCTTTCTTTTGAGTGGTTTCTGAAAGGGTCCCCGGTGGCGTTGCTAGGTAACCATTGGGTTTGTAACCACAGGGTCCAACGCACCAGCTGCTCCTCACAGGAAAGCCGTGGCTGACCGCTCCCGAAAAGATCCATCGCCTGGGAAACCCGATGTCAGATCTGTAGGGTCACTCAGAGTCCAAATTGACTGGAGGCCAGTGGGATTGGTTTGGGTTAGTGCTTTCCAGGCCATGCCCGGGAAATGCTTACCTGCATGAACGTGTTCAGGACAATCTCCTTTACTACCTTGCAGAAGCGTGCCGATAATTTTAGCATTTGCTTTTGCTTCCATGGTCCACTTCCAGCCAACTTTTGTGAATGGGATGGGTTCTGACTTACCGATTGTTGTGTTCGTACGCCATCAGGTTGTTCCCACACCATGTGTTAAAAAGATTCTCTTTTCCCTCTTGCTTAGCACCGAGACCAACTGGGATTGAAGCTGCAGATCAATTTAAGGGGGTGTACATTTTTAACCACATTGATTTTATGAACATGGTACATCTCACTGTGGATTTAGGTCTTCTTAAAATTTGCTGAGCGGTATTTTGTGTGTTTTCAGAGGTTGTGCACAACTTTCCTTAAATTATCTCTAAAGCATTTTGTTTTTCACACTGTTGTGATTTTGTATTTTATTTTCTGATCGCTCATTCCTTGCATGCAGTTCATTTCTGCATATTGAATTTGTATCCTGCAACTAACTGGATTTCCCTTACTTTTTGGCGGGGGAGAGGGGTAGATGTCTTAAGATTTTCCTTGTATGGTGATATCACTTAGTAAAGACAGTTCTGTGACTTTTTTCCCTGTGTGTTTTGGAGATTTTCCCCTCCCTGTCCTGGTTAGCACCCTCTGTGCAGTGCTGAGTGAGTGCACGAAATCAGGGCTGTCCATCACTTAAATGCTGTGTCCATGAGGATCCAAGGAGCCTCTCATCCATGTTCTTTGTTCCCTTGAGGGAAGTAACCAGAAGACTCTGTCCTACACAAACTGAACGTTTTATCCTAAATTCAGATTGCATATTTTCCCTAAATCTGAGGAGATTATTCTATTATTATCGCCCTTTATTCTGTTAATGCAGTGAATTACATGGGTTGTTGTTCTTTTTCTTTTTTCTCTTTTACACTCTTACATGTCACCATGGTTATATTTTATTAAAATCCTTTAAGAATGTAAAAAAAAAGTCAAACACTAAACAGAACTGAAGGGAGTTGCAATGTTGGGCTATTTTTTTTTTCCCAAAAGAACGACTCCCTTCTCTGAAGTGTTGTTTGGTGCTAATGTCTTTTCTCCTGGATAGGTAGCTACATTTCTTTTCCTTTGTAGAGTTAATTTACGTTCATGAACATCTTTTCTGCTTGCTCCCGTCTCAGGCACCCATGCTTCACCTAACATTAAGTCCTCCAGGACAGGAGCCGTGTTCCTAGGGCGAGTGCCTCACAGCTCAGCAATGACTTCCTAAGACGATGATCATCATCATCAAAAGATCCTGGTGACGTTTGTAAAGAAGCTCCTTTACTGAGAAACGGTGTCATGAAATCAGTTGTGCATCTTCACAGAGTGCGTTCTGTTGAGCTCTGGGCATGCATGCAGTTGAGGTCATGAGCATACAGATCGCCGTCACCAACGAAGAAGAGTTTTGAGGTAGTTCATTGTGCCAACCTGGCTGATAAACACGTGTGGGGTTAATTGAAAGGCAGAGGGATAAATGGTTCAGTGAGCCTTGCCTTTCTAGTTCTCTGGTCTCTTGCTTTCTGATGGTCGGACCAGGGTGCAGCTGCCTTAGCAGGTCCCTGCTTTAGCTGGCAAGGCTAACTTCCTGCAAGACATTCCTGAGAAGAAGCCACATGGATCTACCCCAATGCAACCCTGGGTGCTGGAGCAGCCGTGTGGCCACCCCTGCCAGGGCTGAGATGCTTACACATTCACTGACTTGGCTTTCCTCCTGCAGTCGGCATCATTGTGTCTGTTTTGTGAGATGGAGGAGGACTTTGTGGATTGGTGTTGGACATATGGGTTAATGGGTTAATGTTGGACTTGTGGGCAGCACTAGGTTGGGATGTTTTCTTGATGCACACTTAACCTTTATATAAAACTCTCTCTTATACATGAGCTTCTATGGATTTGTTTCTTTAACGTACCCAGACTAACACAAATTTCCTAACGCCTTTGTAAAATCCCTGTTCCCACATCCTCATCCCGAGCAAGCACTGATTTGCTTTCCGTTACTGTGTTAGTTTGCCC